CAAGTGTCCCTTAACCACACTTATTCTGCGGAAATAAACAACCGGGAAAATGCAAATAATAGTGGAAATAAGGTTGAAAAGCGATTTAAAGGCTGTGACAGTGATTTGTGGTGTTACAGAATTTTTAATAATGGAAAATACGAGATTCGTAATATAAACGACACTACTATTCCAACATTTATAGAAATGTTGGAGAAAATTGTTTTCATCCTTCTCAAATATATTTGGAGATCTATATAGGCCAACAATATACATACTTACCCTTTAAAATCATAGAAAACTCGAAGCATTTTTCTTTCTACAAGTAATCAAACCTATACACATTTACAAAATTTGAAGTTCCCTAAGTTTGTTCTCTAACCATAATAAGATTGCCATCATGCCCTGAACTTGACCTGCAAAACCTGGACACAGTAACATAGTTTTCGAGGTAGTATCTATCTATTTATCTGGGCTGCGTTTCTTTCCCCACTGCACTGAAGCTCTTAGCTTATCGTGCTCTCTTTGGTGTTTACTACATCAGAAAAGTGTCTCTGATAAAGTTCAGGTTACTGTTGATAGGGTCATTAGCTATTTTTTTGGGTAGGCTTCCTTGAAGTGTGAAAATCTTTTCCGACTTAGTGCCGGCCTGCCGGGCATTGGCACAGTATGTGTAGAGGAGTTTCTTCCTCATCTCCGCATGCTCTGCATGAGGGGTCCTCTTCTAGCCCCATAATATCTAGATGATACGTCAGTCGGCAGTGTCTTGTGAGTATAGTTCCGTTGCGATACCGAGGTTTTTCCTTCTCCCTGATGAACAATGGCGATTGTCTTAACCCTGGGCGTTCAATCCAAAACTTTAGGTGTTTTTTGTTTTGTCTTTCCCCTATGGCTTCGCGTGCCGTCCGCTATGAAAGTCCGCATTTAGGTTCAGGGCCAAAAAGGGACATTTCTGCTCCTTTTTCGAGACAGTAGATTTCATCATATCTAAGCCAATGCTGAGGTAAGACTACGATAATGGGTCAGTTAATATTACTTAAAAACAAAAAAGTTCGTCATTCTTATTTCTCACTGATTGAATATTGAGAACGACTAAGGTAAGGAAAGTATCGGCGCAGTTGGATTTAGAAATTGGGGGTATTTTAGTAATTGCATCTGCACCCGCATCATCGCCGATATATTCTGAAGATAATGGACCATTTTTTCATCCGTGTAATCTCAGATTCGGTTGAGATATAAGATCAAGTAGCTTGATATAGATGAAAAGGCAGATGTGTGATAATCTAAATTGTAATTGTATATCATTTGACTCAAAAGTCTGCTCATGCCAATACCTAAATTCCACCCAATAGTTATGAATTACCGTAATAGAAATTTTATTACAACTACTTTTTTAGTTATGTCGCTCCCATCTTTAAGTCTGGAGACAGTGGAGATGTGAAGAATTACAGGCCAATCAGTATTATGAGCACAATTCCCAAGATATTTGAAAAATTAGTAACAAATTACTTAACATCAGTACTCTCACCATACCATGGATCTCGAATAACCAGTTTGGATCAAATATCATTGAAACCCTCGAAAATGAATTAGAAGTACATACTATTTATACAAACTTTGCAAAGGCCTTCGATAAAGTGCCTCACATATCTTAATCCACGAACTTAAATTGATGGGAATTTCGGGTTCCATGCTTGACTCGATTGGGAATGACATAATTGGACGAACTCAGATTGTCAAAGTGAACAATTTTTAGCCCAATACAATAAAGGTTTCCTCAGGAGTCACCCAAGGTTTCCATCTAGCACCACTGTTCTTTAATTGCTTTAAAAATGATGCTGGATTCCGGATCATGCTTGGAGCACAGTATCATAATCTCTTTGCAGATGATATGAAAGTGATCTCCGATAAAAAGTCTCTTGCTACAGCATGATCTCAATGAGTTTGTACAATGGTGTAAGACAAATGGAATGGAGCTAAATGTGACCTAATGATCTTTTCTCGCAAACGCTCTAAAACAACCTTCAATTACACCATTGACGGAAATTCACTTTTGATGGTTGAAAAAATGACTGATCTTGGCATAGTTCTTGACCCAGAACTATCCTGCACTGACCATATCACTTTCATAGTGAATAAATCGCTCAGAATGTTAGGATTCCTAAAACGAAATAGTCAAGATTTTAACTCAATTCATGCTCACAAAATTCTTTATTGCAGTCTAGTCAAGTCACAATTAGAATATGCCTCAGCTTTCTGGAACCGTCACTACGGAATACACACCAAAAGAATAGAGGGTGTACAGAGAATATTCCTCCGCAACAATAATTTTAAAAAATTCCATGAGTTAAGCTATGAAGCACTGCACCAGAGACTAAATCTGCAAATTTCATCCACCAAGAGAAGTCTCAGGGACCTATCTTTGCTTTTTAAATCAAGTAAATCTATAGTGGATTGTACCTATCTAACAAGCATGGTCAACCTTCATTTTCAACACCAGAAATCGTCAAATTTTCTATATTCTTTTTTACCGCACAAATGATGGCAAAAACTCATTTTTCCAATGAACTATGACTGAACCATACCCTATACTTTGAGTGGTTACAAATCGCTCTAGGACATAATTGTCTTTTGTTTTGGAAAATTCTTACACGTGTTGTGTTAATACTGTCCCTAATAATCCAGTGTGACGTCACAAACACCTAGTTGTAACTTTAAACCGCCCTAGCTCGAAAACGAACCATCGTAGCAAGATGCGGTTTAAATATCTATTTTTAGATTTTTTTGCAATAAATCTTTAATTTTTGGGTCACTCCCCCTTCAAGATAATATCCCACTATGAGACGGAGCGTTGTAGTTTGTTCCACTTTTATTCACCAGAACCAAAATCCGCTGAGGTTTATTAGGATGTGATTTTTGACCTGTATCCTGTATTCTGGATCAATGCCTCAGTAAAAGTGGTAATCTCCCTATAGAATGGACTCAGCTTGAAACTTTCTCCCGCTCCCTGACTCATCCTGTCTAGGAGCAGCTGAAATTCTCTCTGAGGCGAATATATTTCCCTTCCAGAATATTCATTCCCCGCTGTCCGAGTCTCGATAAAGATCAACATACTTGAAGTCAACTCCTCTAGGTCATTATATTTTAGGCTGGAATTCCGGGTTTTCGTCTTTGGCTGAGGTAAGAGCAAATATGGTGTCCTTTTGATCATCTGTTTGTTCATCTGAGCTCTTATAAGCTTTACTCATTCTTGATTCCAACTATTGAATGGTTTCATCACGTCTAGCTTAAGCTATATCAAACGCAGTTCCAAACCCAAAATTTTACCTCGAGGAAAGCTCATGATCTGTTCTTTGTATTTTATATCTTTGCACCTATTAGAACAATACATTGATGTTCTTTGAATTCCGAAAATCTCTTAATACGCTACCCACAGCTAGGGCGAAACACATTTAAGCACGATAAACGCACACATATTTATGAAAAGGCGCTTGACATCCATTTCCAAAATAATTGCTGATGTAAATACCAACAAAACGTTATTGATCAATTCGCCTCAATGGAAGCGAACTTAACTGGAAGGAAGAAGTGACATTCCTAGGAATAATTCTAGATTCTAAACTTCGGTGGAACCGACACGTAGAAAACACGAAACTATGATACTGAGACCTATAATCACTTACCGAGCGGTATCTTGGCATAGTCGAACTCAGCTAGTAACATCTAAAAAACCCCTAGTTAGTAAAGGTAGAGACTGATCTTAATCTTGGTCTTGCAGAAAAAGCGAGACTTATTAGACTGCAAGACCAAGATCGAGCAGTGCAAGACTTATGCAAGACAAACCAAGACTTATAAGTATTACAAGACTTACGCAAGATCAAGATCGAGCATGGAAGAGTCTTGCGCTTGTCGAGCAGTTCAAGAGTTATGCAAGACCAAGATCTAGTATTACAAGCCTTTCGCAAGACCAAGACAAATAGGTAATGGAAGAGTATTGCGGTCTTTTCGCAATTTTTTTTTTACATATTGCCTTAATTCTGGTGTCAGAATTATTGTTGGTCGAAATATGGAGAAAAAACTTCCCATATACCATCGTCACCAAAAGTATCTGGGACAAAAATAATTTATATTAATCTCCTGGACTAATTCTACCAGCATTCATTTCAATGCATTTAAATGATAGTTTAACAAATGTTTGACACTAAAATTCATATAATAGTACAGAAGCTAATATGATGCTGTCCCAGTTACTTTTGGTGACGATGGTACGTTTGTTTACTAAAAAATTGAAAGTCTTGCAAGAGTCTTGGTGCAAGACCAAGACCAATACCAAGAATGGACCCTGCAAGACCTAGACTTGACCCTGCAAAACCAAGACGAATACTACTTATTATACCTAGTGCAAGACTAACGCAGTCCTGGCTTTGGTCCATTTGCTCATCACTGAGTCTCCTAGGAAAAGTGCAAAGACTTGAGTGTCTCTGTATAAAAAGAGTAATAAGATCATGTCTAACTGCGGCATTATAAGACGTCATACTAGCCAGTGGATTATTTCTCAGACTAGCGAATATTAGTATTTAAGGGAAACGCAGAAGTTTTCATATCCCAAACTGTGCACACCTTATGGATCTAAAGAATACGATTTTTAAGAAATTCAGCTTCGAGAAAAACTTTTGCAGTCGATGGAAAACTTTAAAAAAAAAGGTTTCTCAAAATTTTTATTCCATTTGCTAATATATGGCATGTTGTGACAAAATCAGTGAAACCAAATTTCGACTCTAAAGGAATTATTCCTCTATAAAAATTCAATACCATGTTGCAACAAACAAAAAATACTTCAAGAGCGCTACACCATTGCAAAAATTCCTCACGGACATTCAATCAAACCTATCGCCCCTCCATATGATATCCGTTACGTATCATCAAATTTTGCTTTTCGAGTAATTGTACCGATACTATACGTCTGACTGAGAAATAAAAGGCCTAAAACGGCCAATGATTAAAAATTCCAAACACGATTCATGGTGCGGGGCATGTGTGCACTTATGTTACACTTGCCCACCCCCTTCCCTATACCGGGCAGCCAGTAAGTGATAAATCGACCGTGTATGGCATAACAGAACGGTTTTGTCTTTTTACAGTAGAGTAAATGGTATTTTTATTGTCTAGTTCCAGTATTCTACGGGGTATTTAGATACTCAACTCGACAAAACTAATTGTCATTCTATGAAGTGGTTTTCGAATAATTACTGTTACTATTTGCGTTGAAATATATGTCCTCGCTCAAAGCATTTCCTTCGATTCACGTCTTATTCAGTAGCCAGAACAATTTCAATTTGTTTCACTCCTTAACTGCGAAATAAAGTTGTATTAGCCAAAAGGTAAAGCCCGCAAAAACCGCACTAACAGCACCCCGATCCGCCATTAGGGGCGGTTTTATTTAGATTTATTTCCTATTCGTTTGCTTGATTCAAATCTATTACCTTTGCCGGACGCGTGATTAATGTCTTTCCTGGATATCAATTGATTGTTATACCTATTACAAAACTATACCTATATATCAGCTATATCGTTCCCATTGTATGATTTGTTCGCCTCCTCCCCTCGTATTTGTCTGGACACCACATGGCAATTTCCCAACGAAAATAGCCAAAACTGCCCCTATGGCTACCGAAACTCGGCAAATTTATTTGTTAATTTCGTCCGTATTTTTGTTTGATTGCGACTTGATTAGTTTGTGTGTATTTTAGTTTCGGCGTTGCAAATATGTTGTTTAATTACGTGCAAAAGGAGAAAAAAGTTTAGGTTTACTCTACTGAAATTATAGATTTTACGGATATCTTTATTCATGTCAAATCAAAATAATGACACGAGTGGTCTCACTCAATCACTAACACCATTCGCTTCTACTTACCTTGCTATCTACGTTTTACTATTCAATTATTAGTGTAAGGGTGTTTTGATAAGCTAGTAAGAGTAGATACATAATGCTGTAGTGTAAAGACAAATAAAGAAACTGACAATTTCCGAAAAAATAAATACACTGGTTCTTTTCGTCAGTTATCTGGCTCAGTCGGTAGGATTCATAGTGTCGATTTGTTTTCAATCCATTCATTTATCTATCGAACGGACTAAATTTGTTACGGGATGATTTTTCCTGGGCCAAAATGAAAGGAAATAAGCGTATTCGCCTCACTGAATAGCATACCTTCGACGAGCCACTGTTTTCTTTCCAATGGTTATGGCCACACTTTTCATCAAACTTTTCATTCTTCCCAGAATCATAGAATTAGAGGTTGAGTAATGGAATTAACTTCCTTTTAGTAGGGTTGAAATAAATAGTCAATTAATTTATTAATAAATAAAATCACAATATTTATACTCGAACAGCTAATTGTCTGATCCGATTAGATTGAGAGCGCTCCAAATAAGGTCAATGACCGGTACTAACTTAATTTAAATATGTCCCATGTCCCAACTACCATCAAAATTCCCCAGGACCTTTCACCTTGGAGCTTTGACAGAACCTTTTCAAAGGACATTGCAGGGATAAGCAGAGGTCATTTCAGGTCGAGGAATTTCCACGATTAAGTGTTCGGGAAAATTCCTCAGGCACATTTTGCCGATTTTCTGAGTTGTCCAGTTTTCGCTTATAAATCTAGGGTAGCTAAGCACCAAATCGCCTTGTGCGGATTTCTTTGTGAGCCGAAAAACAGCAACGTGATCAATTGTTTGTTCCTAAAGGCCAAAGTATTTTGGTAAGTGGTTTTTCTTATTAGTCTCCTCTGTGTTTCTCTATTGCCTATGTAAAAGTATAGTTTCTTGTTAATTATACGGTTAAATTCCGAATATTGGACATACCTACCTATCGCTCCACGCCCAGTCTCATAAAGTCCATCTGTTTCAGGCCTTTAGACGTCACCTTTTATTCGTCACGCTTTAGTCCTTAACTTGAGTAAATAGCTAAACGTTAAGCTTACTGTATATTTCAAGTCGTACCTCCTATCTTCAGCCTCCTCTAGACAATTAGAAGCTTTAGTGACTCCTAGTTACTGAACTTCAGTGCCCAGGGCCAGTTGCTTCTTGTTGCAGCCCTGATCCAGTCCCAGGTCATCGGAAACACTGGAAGATATCAATCCAATCCTTCAGGTTCGCCTCAAGAGATTCGGGACTACTCAGGTTTGATAAGTGTGTTGTATTGTCTTAATATCAAACCTTACCAACCCCTTGTTGAAGTAAATCACTACAACGACGCAGTTCTACTACAATATTAAATTACCCTTCAGATTATGTGTTGTTATCTCAATTTTAATTAATTATCTATATTACCTTTATTATATGAAACTTGCCATTCAGGTTATGTATTGTTAGGTCCTTCAATTTTAATTATTTATCTGTACTACCTATTTTATCCCATAATATTAAATTTGCCCCTCAGGCTATGCATTGTTACTTCAATTTTAATTAATGATCTATAATATTTCTCTAATATCTCATAAATACATGCTGCACTGAATACAGGAAAATACTTGTACACTGAGGTTAAATGGCCATTTACGAAGGTACTGCATTTAGTAAGCTTGTTTAATAATTTACATTTCAGGTATTATTGCTGTTATAGGTGTTATACAATACTCTTTATTTTTTTATTTAGGGACTCAAGTTGAGTGTAATTAATAATTATTTTAAATACTATTTTACGAACATACATAAGGTTAGGTACTCCTAGACGATTTCTTTTCTTGTTCTGGTTCTAATTAAAACCCGTACTTGATTGTAGCAAAGAAGTCCGTAGAAGTTTTCTGCTTTCGTTATATCGGTTGACTTCGTGTACTGCAGGGAAAAGCAGGTGGCGCTCTATATTTAATTATTTAATTGATACATACTCCTCTCCGCATTGGAAGCTAGTCGGCAACCCTTCACACGAATTCCCGTTTCTAGATTTTAGCCACCGACCAACCCTATCTTTCTATTTTCTTTTTGTTTTAGTTACCCATTCACTGTCAAATTTTATTATTTACTTTTACATCGTGTTTTGCGGGTAACAAATTAGTCCTATCGGAAAGACCTTATCACATCGATTAAAACAAAACAAAAAAAAAACATCCAGCTCATACAAGCATTTCTATTTCAGAGTCCGTCAAGAAAAAAACGGAGGCGCCTGGTGTCCGAAAGCCCAAATCAGCAGCGACGTCAAAGAATATCTGGAAGTTGACCTGCAAAAGAACCATTTGATGACGTGGACCGAAACGCAGGGTCGTTTCGGTAACGGCCAAGGTCAGGAATACGCCGAAGCCTTCCTGGTCGAATACTGGCGCAGCTCTTTGGGCCAATGGATCACCTATAAGGATTCGAGAGGAGAAAAAGTAAGAACCTATTTCAAACTTTTAGTTTTAAAAAGAATTTGTATAAGTTTGTAATGATAATGATTTTATTTATCAGTGTATGTAAACAACTGCTCTTAAAAAATTCAAAGCACAATCATGTATGGGCTAAAATGGTTTTAAATTCAACAAAAACTCATTAGTATAATGTTGCATTGTAAGCCAGGTTCGCGTATATCCGATTACTTGTTGTGCATTGGACCCCTGAGGAAACTGGATATATTAAAAAGCTTCCAGAGGATACAATTCTACTCCAGCTTTATATTGCGAATGTGTTTTTGTATTATATGAGTTTGAGGGCTTTTTAAGAGGATTATTTTCGACCAGTCCAAACTAACAATACGTCGGAGCACGTAAATTTAAGCTTTCGCAGTGTTTGATTTTAACTACTTTTTTTTTCAGAATTTCGTAACGAAATATTGCATTCCAAAAAAGTTTCTCGGTGATTTTTTCGGATTAGCAAAAAGACTGATTCTAGCATCTAAATGGATGTTTAAGTCTCGAACATAAGTTCAAACAAACCGTCTACACACTACTTGCAACAATGATAAGTTCGATTTCTTAACTCATCTGACTGCCTCTTTCTTGACCTTCCTTGCAGCTTCATATCTTTTGAATATCTGCAAAAAACTATTTAAATTGAGCTTAGCTGTTCGAAAAACTATCACTATATCTAAGCGCCTTTCCATCCAATTTAAAATTTGTATTGTATTGACGTACATATACATTATCATTTCAATAGTTTCAAGATTTCCTCAATTTTCCCGAATTCTCTTACCAGAGATTTCTAGTAGACTAAATTATTCCTTCAAGGCGAAACTCGTTGAATATTTCAGTCACCGACCAAACAGGCGTCCATCATGTACTGGGTATTTGATTATATTTGGCACCATACCTACAGCCTTTACTATTTAAGATAGAAAAAAATTTTAAATACAAAACTTCACAGTTTTTTCTATATTTTCTTTTGACAGTATCAGAAAAAACAAAATCGCATCGGAAAATGGAGAAACGTAGGCAACTTCAACTTTTTTCAATGGAACACCCTGTATATTATGCGATAGAATTGAAGATCTTTTCTTCCTGATTCCAAATAAAGTTGCAAAAAAGTCAATTTTCAACTGTCAATATTTCCGAAACAGTTGAAGTTAGGTATATGACATTGTACATGAAATATGTCTAGAATTTTCCGTAGAATCCATAAATGTCATAAGATACAGGGAGTACCATTCAAAAAAATGAAGTTGATACCGGCGAGGCTATTTTTGAGACACTCTGTATGATAAAAAATATACTTAAAAATTTCAAACAAAAAAACAAAATTGACGTGTCTAAGCGATTTTTCGAAAATTCTACCGTTTTCAAAATAATGAATTTATGCGGGACTTTATGAGCTCTGTGTATATACAGTGTGTCCCGCTTAAGGACTGACCACCCTTCTAAAATTTTTATTTTTCAACCGATTCAATTCATTTTTTTTTTGTCTTGTAGCTACTCGAATTTGGAACTTATTAGGCTCATAATTTTATTTCTACGGCTGCACTGGTTTACAGGGTGTCCACATTTATAGGCTCAAATTTCAATAAGTACTATTAGGGATTTTTTTAGAAAAAATCTGATAGCAGATTCTTGTTTAGAATGGTCTAAAACCCTAATGTACGAATTTTTGTTCGAATAGGATACAGGGTGATCACAACAAATTTTTAAAATTTAAAGGATCAAACCGTAAAAATTTTATATTTTGAGACAAGCTTACAACAAGTTTTGGTTAAGGATGTTCTAAAACTTTGTTGTATCAAGTTTTGTTGTTCTCAAGGCCTCAAGGTCTTTAACTCTGGAGAATAAATCTTGGTTTCTTAGTAAATTATATTTAGCTATTTTTATATTTTCGAAATTCTTAAACAACGAAATAATCTTATGGGATAAGTGATCTATGAAAAGAAGTTCTTTGTATTTTATTAAAAGTGAAGATGGTACAGTTGGACCATCAAAAATGTTAGAGTTGTAAATTAATTTATTCAAAAGATGTTTGGGGTAACCATTGTTAAGAAAAATATGACAAAGCTTATTTAAGTTTTGTGGTAAGAAGCGTTCATCACTAATGTGTGTTATCCTGTTTTTCATTGCTATCACGATGTTCAAAGTAATCACTTTGCGCACTCATTTGCGTGCGCAAAGTTGAACTTTGCGCACGGAAACTCTTTGCGCACTCATTTTTGTTACGCATAATTACCATAGTTATACTTGATTTTCCAATGTTTTGATGGTTTCTGAATAAACTAATACTCAAAATGAAGGGTTTTAGTTGAAATTAGCGCTTAGTTAACATGATGTTTCCTATCAAAGGTGTCCAAATTGGACCAGCCTGTACGGCTAGGAATTTGTAGAATTTTTGATATTAAAGAGACTCTCATGGAAATATTCTAGCTGGAATTCTAGAAATTCCAGAAGATGTTAAAAGATTTTTGGGGATTTAATTTAAAAGACATTCTGAAGAATTCCAATTGATTTTAAACGATTTTGGAAGATTTTGATTTGATTGATTTTTCTAATATTTTAACAATTCAAAGTCTACTTTTTTAAGATACTCGTAGAAAAAATATTGTTCCCAACACTTGCGCAAAGTGTCTTTCCCGCACTCAAAGCTTATCCGAACTCCGCTTCGCGTCGTTCGTCTAACTGCTTTTTCGTGCGGGAAAGTATCACTTTGCGCACTTGTTAGGAAAATAACTATTATAAACCTACCTGAAGCAGTTTCTTTCTGGTACCAATCAAGAATCAATTAGGCAATCTCAATCACGTGATTTTATAATGGCCGTTCGGGTCAAATATTGCCGTGATAAGGGTGACAAGCCGGTGACGTTCATAAGGAGAACATTTGTGTTCTGGCCCTTGTTGCTTTCGAAGTGAATTTTATAGTCTTTGGTGTTTCTACGTATTTTTTATTGGTTTTTGCCATTGTTGTTTTCATAGTGAATTTTATAGTCTTTAGTATTTCAACGTATTTTTTAGTGTTCTGTTTGGCCCTTGTTGTTTTCAAAGTGATATTTATAGTGTTTCTACGTATTTTTTAACACGCTTATATTAGCTCAATGTACGAGAAATGTGGAAAAAAGCACCCCACGCTTTTTTCACAATAATTCTAATATTTTTTGTTCATTAATATTTTCTTTTTATATTAAAAATTATTTTTCACTTTTTAGTTCAATTTACTATAAAAGCGTGTTTTTTAGTTTTTTTAAACTATATTTATTAATTTATTAATAAATTCTGAGATGGAGAGTGAATATTTTAAGGTACCTATTATTATTAAGGGAAAATCGAGCCTCTGTTAGATCCTTTCTTTTAATTGCAGCAATCCATAAAGCCCTGCGTTGTTTTGATAATTCATTTTTCTAGATCAAAAGCCGATGATTTAAAATAGCAGGAACTGAATAAAATTTCACATTTTTCCTGTTACCTCGACTCCCACACCCAATTACGGTGCAAATCGCTGGCATTTCTATTAACACAATACCTAAATACACAAAAAAATACAAAATCCGATAATTCAAATCTGGACGTTTGTCCAGAATGTGACAGAATCAATGACATACAGAATAAACAACACAGTGCTTGACCTAATGCTTGACCCGAACTTCCATATTGAATTTCGTTTTTGACAAGTCAGTAGATTGCCTAATAAGTTGTCTTGGGTGTGGATTACCTTAGTGTCCAAAAATGCTATACTGCGGTCGTTTTCACGTTCAACTGTGAATTTTATTTTATTATGAAAAGAATTAAAAGTCTGTTGTGTGGTGTGAATATGATCGGAAGGCACAGAACAAATCAAATCATCCACATATTTGTAAATAAAAGGCATGTCGAAAGGTAACAAAGGGATTACGATATCAAGCAAATGTGATGGGATTATAAATACACCGGAACTATTTTATTGAAGTATTTTATTTTAAATCAAAGAAAAATTACACATTTACTTCTTGCCTTGCCATTATTACATAACCACACTTTTGGCAATAATGACAGAGCGCACAATTTTTGGCGGTAGAAAAATATTTACGTCAACTCATTTCAAAGTACAGTGTTACCAATATAAGAAAAATAAAGAGAACATCAATTTGCCATTGCATAAATGCATACAGAGATGGCGCTACCTGTATCAATTTTCAACACACCCCCTCAATGGCAAATTTCTACTACAAAAACAATATTCATACAAATTTTTTTTTTTTTTTTTTTTTTAAATACAATAATAGAGAAATGAAAAATTCTAATCTAGACCACATTTTGTCCTAAAGCCGTTGAACGAGGTCAAAGAGAGAGGCTTCGTGAAAAAATCTGCAATTTGCAAATTAGTAGGGATATATTTCAAAATAACCACCTTTTCCTTGACCTCGTCACGTATAAAATGAAATCTAATGTCTATGTGCTTTAGACGTTTGTGAAATTGTGGGTTTTTGCAGACTTTTATTGCCGACTGATTGTCCTCAAAAATTACTACACTACAATCATCAATAACCTGAAAATCAATCATCATATATCGAAGCCAACATGCTTCACTGACTGCAAAACTCAATGCAACATATTCAGCCTCGGTCGAAGACAGGGCCACTGTTGCTTGCTTTCTAGATGACCAGCTAACTGTGCAGCCAAAAACTGAAAAAATATATCCAGAGGTGGATTTTCTATCAACCCTGTCTCCTGCCCAGTCTGAGTCTGCATAGCCCTCTATCATGGTTTTAAAATTATTTTTATTGAAAATCAAACTTAAGTTTAGAGTTCCCTGGACATATCTCAAAAGTCTCTTTATTGATTGCCAGAGCTGTAAGCTTGCTGATGACTGATACCTACTCAAAATACTTATTGATATGCATAAATCTGGTCTGGAACAAAGCATTGCGTACATCAGCGAGCCCACAGCACTTCGGCATTTATTTTCAAGTTCTTCAGATTCAGATTTTTCGCGTTTTAATTCTTCATGT